GTGGACGGGAGGGAACAGTCGGAGACAACAGCAAAGCAATTGAAACACAAATGACGTCAAGACGAATCAAAAACAATCAGTGTGAGGGCTCACAATGAGAAAACAAGAAAGAATCAATGTTTCAGAATCCGTCGGGGGCTCGTGGGTCTAGGGCACCAAAACAAATGGAAAACAATTAAAGCAGCAAACAAGATCCCGAAGCACCCAGGTCATCTTTCTGAGGGTCCCACAATAAAGCAAGCAGAAAGCATGTTTTCGGAACTTAGTCGGCACGGCGGTCGTGAGCCTGGGAGCCGAACGCAGATGAACGCAGTTGGTCATTCATTCGAAACAACAGAATTATATGCCGGACGAAGGACCCAACCATAGGCAGGTGTGAGTACCGCAATTGTGATTCACTTTTTCGGTGGTGATCCCTATAAGGCAACGAACCGTGCTAGGGGTGTGCCGAAATGAGTGGCGTGGTACACAACGCGAACGAAAACGAACAACACAATGCGGACTGCGCCACGGGGACCTTCGGTGGGGCTCCATATGGGGCCACGAAGCGCTGCACTGGGTGAGGGAGACGCATGCGGACTGCGCCACGGGGACCTTCGGTGGAGTTCCCTATGGGGCCACGAAACGTGTGAGGGGTGTGCCGAAATGAGTGGCGGGGACGCATTGGAACTGTACCACTGGGACCTTCGGCGAAGCTCCTATGGGGCCACGAAACGTGTGAGGGGTGTGCCGAAATGAACGGCGGGGACGCATGCGAACTGTGCCACTGGGAACTTCGGCGGAGCTCCTATGGGGCCACGAGACGTGTGAGGGGTGTGCAGAAATGAATGGCGGGGACGCATGCGAACTGTGCTACTGGGACCTTTGGCGGACCTCCTATGGGGCCACAAAGCGTGTGAGGGGTGTGCCGAAATGAATGGCGGGGACGCGTGCGAACTGTGCCACTGGGACCTTCGGCGGAGCTCCTATGGGACCACGAAACGTATGAGGGGTGTGCCGACATGAGTGGCGGGGACGCATGCGAACTGTGCCACTGGGACCTTCGGCGGAGCTCCTATGGGGCTACGAAACGTGTGAGGGGTGTGCCGAAATGAATGGCGGGGACAGATGCGAACTGCGCCACTGGGGCCCTCGGCGGAGCTCCTATGGAGCCACGAAACGTGTGAGGGGTGTGCAGAAATGAATGGCGGGGACGCATGCGAACTGTGCCTCTGCGGCCTTCGTCGGAGCTCCTATGGGGTCACGAAACGTGTGAGGGGTGTGCCGACATGAATGGCGGGGACGCATGCGAACTGCGCCACTGGGATCTTCGGCGGAGCTCCTTTGGGGCCACGAAACGTGTGAGGGGTGTGCCGACATGAACGGCGGGGACGCATGCGAACTGAGCCACTGGGACCTTCGGCGGAGCTCCTATGGGGCCACGAAACGTGTGAGGGGTGTGCCGAAATGGATGGCGGGGACGCATGCGAACTGTGCCACTGGGACCTTCGGCGGACCTCCTATGGGGCCACGAAACGTGTGAAGGGCGTGCCGGAATGAGTGGCGGGGACGCATGCGAACTGTGCCACTGGGGCCTTCGGCGGAGCTCCGATGGGGCCACGCAACGTGTGCGGGGTGTGCCGAAATGAGTGGCGGGGACGCGTGCGAACTGTGCCACTGGGACCTTCGGCGGAGCTCTTTTGTGGCCACGAAACGTGTGAGGGGTGTGCCAGGATGAATGGCGGGGACGCATGCGAACTGTGCCACTGGGACCTTCGGCGGAGCTCCTATGGGGCCACGAAACGTGTGAAAAAAAAAAAAAAAAAAAAAAAGAAAAAAAAAAAAAAAAAGAAAAAAAAGTGAAAAAAAAAGGGGTGTGCCGAAATGAGTGGCGGGACGCATGCGAACGTGCCACTGGGACCTTCGGCGGAGCTCCTATGGGGCCACGAAACGTGTGAGGGGGTTGCCGGAATGAGTGGTGGGGACGCATGCGAACTGTGCCACTGGGACCTTCGGAGGAGCTCCTATGGGGCCACGAAACGTGTGAGGGGTGTGCCGAAATGAGTGGCGGGGACGCATGTGAACTGTGCCATTGGGACCTTCGGCGGAGCTCCTCTGGGACCACGAAACGTGTGAGGGGTGTGCCGAAGTGAGTGGCGGGGACGCATGCGAACTGTGCCACTGGGACCTTCGGCGGAGCTCCTATGGGGCCACGAAACGTGTGACGACGATGATGATGACGATGATGACGATGATGACGATGACGATGACGATGACGATGACGATGATGATGATGATGATGATGATGATGATGATGATGATGATGACGATGATGATGATGATGATGATGATAATGATGATGATGATGATGATGATGATGATGATGATGATGATGATGATGATGATGATGATGATGATGATGAGAGGAGGGGAGGGGGGAGGAGGAAGGAGGAGGAGGAGGAAACACGGGGCGCTGTCTCTTCAGAACGAGGACCCAACACCACAGGATGGTTGGGAAAGAACAAACAAATCCAAACCATCCCAGTGAGGATCTCAACAACAGAAAAACTATGTTTTCTGAAATTCGTCTGCTGTATGTTCTGGAATCCGAGGCGGGCGACCCCCACGCCGACAAAGCTGCGAAATTATTGTAAAGCTCGGTTCTTTGGAATCCTCAGTCCGATAATCCCACCAGCCCTCTGGGCGTGAGTGGTTTAGGGAGCTCTCTCTGTCCTCAACCCCCCTTCTTCCCCTTCGGGGAGGGGTTTACCCCTCCCCCTCCCCCCTCCCCCTGGGCCTGGAGAGGGCGGGCCGCGGGTCGTCAGGGGAGTCTTTTTCGACTCATGGGAGGGCCAAAAAACGACGACCCTCATGAGGATTCTTGCCCCGAGGGGGGGGAGGGAGTTTGGCGCCTGAACTCGTCGTTGAAGTCAAAAACATTGATTTTACTATGGTTTGGGCCCCATTTTGGTCTTCTGAGGGGGCCGCGTTCCTCTTCCTTCTTAGCAGAATCATTGATTTTACGACGGTTTTGGCCTCATGTTGTCCTTCTCAGGGGTCAGCGCTTCTTCGCGCTTCTGAGGAGGTCGCAAAAGGCCCCAAGATAGCCCCAAGAGGCCCCCAGGAGGCTCCCAAGAGGCCTCCAGGAGGCCCCCAAGAGGCCCCCAAGAGGCCCCAAGAGGTCCCCAAGAGGCTCCCAAGAGGCCCCCAAGAGGCCCCAAGAGGCTCCAAGAGGCCCCCAAGACGCCCCCAAGAGGCCCCCAAGAGGCCCCCAAGACGCCCCAAGAGCTCCAAGAGGCCCCCAACAGGCCCAACGAGGAGCCCGAACGACTCACACCAGGACGAGAGACCCCAACGACTCACACCACGAGGAGCCCGAACGAGTCACACCACAAGGAAGGGCCCGAACGACTCACACCAAGACGAGGCGCCCGAACGACTCACACCACGAGGAGCCCGAACGACTCACACCACGACGCGGGCCCCGAACGACTCACACCACGAGGAGCCCGAACGAGTTACACCAGGAGGAGGGGACCGAACGACTCACACACAAGGAGGGGACTCACACCACGAGGAGCCCGAACGACGTACACACAATGAGGGGCCCGAAGGAGTTACACAAGGAAGGACGAGGGGCCCCAACGACTCATACCATGGAGTCCCACCAGCCCTTTGGGCGTGAGTGGTTTAGAGAGCCCGCTCTGTCCTCAACCCCCCTTCTTCCCCTTCGGGGAGGGGTTTACCCCTCCCCCTACCCCCTCCCCTGGACCTGGAGAGGGAGTCCCGAGTGGTGGCAAGGGGGCCTTTTTCGACTCCTGGGAGGGCCAAACAACGACGACCCTCACGAGGATTCTGGCCCCGACGGGGGGGGGAGTTTGGCCCCTCTGCTCGTCTTTGAAGCAGAAATCATTGATTTTACGATGGTTTTGGCCACATGTTGGCCTTCTGAGGGGGCCGCGCTCATCTTCCCTCATAGCAAAATCATTGATTGTACGAAGGTTTTGGGCTCATTTTGTCCTTCTCAGGGGGCAGCTCTCATTTGCGCTTCTGAGGAGGTCGCAAGAGGCCCCAAGATGGCCCCAAGAGGCCCCCAGGAGGCTCCCAAGAGGCCTCCAAGAGGCCCCCAGAGGCCCCCAAGCGGCCCCAAGAGGCCCCCAAGAGGCCCCCAAGAGGCCCCCAAGAGGAGGCCCCCAAGAGGCCCCCAAGAGGCCCCCAAGAGGCCCCACAAGAGGCTCCAAGAGGCCCCCAACAGGCCCCACGAGGAGCCCGAACGACTCACACCAGGACGAGGGGCCCGAACGACTCACGTTCGGGACTTCCCGTCCTCCGCCGCCTCCTCCTCCTCCTCTTCGTTGCTTTCGGGCCATACGTCGGGCCTCCAGCGGCCGTACGGGACGATCCCAGCACCCCCAGAACGCCCTCGGCAATGCGCAGCTGCTGAATGAAACGCGCGTCCAGAAGCTGAAACAGCCGAGAACCCACGAAGACGCTTGAAGATCTCGAACCTCGAAGTGGTCCCTCCTCCTCCTTCTTCGCCTCCTCCTCCTCCTCCTCCTCTTCCTCTTCCTCCTCCTCCTCCTCCTTCGCCTCCTCCTCCTCCTCCTCCTCCTCCTCCTCCTCCTGCTCCTCCTTCTCCCCCCTCGACCACCAAACCTGTCGTGGGGGTGTGTTCCGACGAGAACTTCGGGTTGAGCCCGGCCGTGGCGACGGACCAGCAAAGGCGAAAGACCCAGAAGAACAGAACCCCCAACCCTCGAGCCTCGAACCCTCCTCCTCCTCCTCCTCCTCCTCCTCCTCCTCCTCCTCCTCCTCGAACCCCGGTCCCTGGTCCTGCCTCTCCGTCTCCCCCTCCCCAAGGGCTCCCAGCTTCGCGCTTCGCGCTGCGCGAAGCGCGAAGTGCGAATAACTTCGCGCTCTCGCGCCGCCTCCCAGGGGAGAAGAGGAGGATGAGGAATCGAAGCCGAACCGCGAAGCGCGAATAACTTCGCGCCCTCGAGGGCGCCCTTGCTCCCCGGCGCCATGTGCGCCGCGTCCGTGAGGTCGAAGCCCCGCTCCTGCGCGTGCTTCGACTCGAGCGCGGCCTCCCGCGCGTGGACGGGCGGCGCGCTCCGGGAGCCTCGGATGAGCTCTGGGGGCCCCCGGAGGCGGGATTTCGATGAGAGCCTCCGCCAAATGAGTGTCTATTTCCGCGCGTGGACGAGGGCGTGATGGCCCAACCATCCGAGAAACGAGAATCAGACATCTACAGCCCAATGGGAAAAGGCCATGTTGGGACTGACATGGGGAAAGCACGAACTGTGGGCTCAAGACACCGTGTCTCGCGGAACCTGCTTCGTCGCTGAACGGTGCCCTCGGGGCTTTCCCGAGACCTTCTCAAAAATCGGAGCACTTCCCTGGGGGGCTCTCCCACAGCATTTGTATCATATATCTCTGGGTTGCCCTTGAAACCTACTTCGAAGCTATCTCTAAGACTACTTGAGTGAAACTTCTGAAACCTTTCTGCGCATAGCCTCGCATTCAGAAATCACCCTCTCCAGCATGATCTGAAGACCCCCAAGAGGTCCCCACAAGGCCTCAAGAGGCCCCCGAGACGCATCCAAGTAGGCCACAACGACCCCAGCCCCGAAATTCTTCCCAAGGCCTGCGGATCACAACCCAAGCGCAGTGACAGGATGGGCCAGAGACCACTAGATTCTCGCCCTCACATGAGAAATTCAGCTCTCTCTTGCCTCCGTTGCCCATCTGGCCTTATGCACCCAACTTGTCCGTCGGCGGAATCGGCCGTAAAGGCTTTGCAGTAATGCGGTGAGCAGCAGAAAGAGCAGGACAAGCAAGGAGACGAAACGGAAGAACACGCGAACTGGTGTGAAACGAACATGCTTTGGGAGACCTGCCCGAGGCAACGTCTTGCCAACGCGCACCGCGGAGCCTTGAGGGCACCCTTGCTCTTAAACTCCGAACTGGAGGAGGAGGAGGAGGAGGAGGAGCAGCAGGAGGAGGAGGAGGGGGAGGGGGAGAAGTGGCAGGAGGATGAGCAGAAGAACAGAGCATGAACAGGAAGAGGGCAATGAGAAGGAACAGCGAGAGGAGGGCAACGAGCAGAGGGGCGTGGAGAAGGAAAAGCAGGAGGAGACGAGAGGAGGAAGAAGAGGAGGAGACGGGGGGACAACAACAGCAGCAGACACAACAACAATAACAACAACACCACCACCAACAACAACAACAACACCACCACCACCACCACCACCAACAACAACAACGATTACAACACCAACAGCAGCAACAACATCAACAACAATACTATCAACACTGGTAAGAATGACAACAGCGGTAACAACGGTAAATAACGATAACAGCATCAACAACAGCAACGACAACAGCAACGACAACAACACTAATCAGTTTAAGTCTGCTAGCTCTTATCTGCTCGCGTGCCATTTAACCCGTGTATCCCAAACCCTCGATGCCCACCCTCTTCGCCTTCGATCGTATCACCTTGGGGGTATACTCCAGATTTCGTAATAAAGGGAGGGGGGTCTCATTTCGGGGGGGGGTCTCTTCCAGGCTATCTTGGAGGGCCTGGGGGGGTCTGGGGACGGTGTTTTGGAGGGTTCTCCCACGGGGGGGGTCTGAAATGGCTTGTCTTGGAGGGTCCAGACCCCCTCCCTTTTATTACGAAATCTGGAGAATCTTTCTCAGCACTTAAGGCAAGGGACGAGAGGACGGACGGAAGGAAGGGACAAAGGGGAAAGAGGAGGATGAAACACGAGAGAGAATAGCAAGAGAGGGGGGCTAGGAGCAGAAAACACGTGGTAGAACCAGACGGGCAGATCGGGCGGGTAGACCCGAACAGGCGGGCCCAGGCGGCCAGGTCGAGCAGGCGGGTTGCTGAAGCGTGCGTCCTGCATGAACGCGAGGAAAACTTGAACGACAGCGCGATTCCAAAATACATCTCGTCAGGAAATCCACGGCGAAAGCGTGATTCCTCAGTGTCGAAGGCGCGGCGCCTGAATCAATTGCGAGGAAATCCCAAGCGACAGCGCGATTCCTGAGTGTCGACAGCGCGACGCCTGAATCAACTACGATGAAATATCCGGCGAGAGCGCGATTCTTTAATACATTGCAACAAAGTCCCTAGCCAGAGCCTGATTCTTCAATAAATTGTAAGGAAGTATGAAGTCTGGAGCCGCTGCTGTTGTAAACTGGGGACCATGGGCGAAGGTTGAGGAAGACTTTCCCCGGTAAAATCACAGCGGGCCCCAGGAAGGGCACTTCAATTGAAAAACACTTAGGTTACGCGAGTGCGTGGGTCCTGCAAAATTCTCCAGGAATTCTCGGGCGACAGCGCGATTCCGAAGTAAATCATGAGGAAATCCCAGGCGAGAGCGTGATTTCTGAATGGCGAGGGCGTGGCGCCTGAATCAATTGCGAAGCGAAGACGCGATGCCCTGATGAATTGCAAGGGCGTCCCTAGCGAGAACGCGATTCCTCAGTACATTGCACAGAAATATCAAGCGGGAGCCGGTGTTGTTGTTGCTGCTGCTGCTGCTTTTGTTGTTGAACTTTCACTACTGAAGAATGCATATTGTTGATCCCACCCTCTCTGGTGACCAATATGTTTGTTCAACTGAAGTGTTTCCTCCAGGGCTCGCACCCCGTTTTTTGAATGGAAGGTCGCTGGGCTCGTGCTGGGTTGTTGGCCCCCGGATTACAATAACAACAACGGCTCCCGCTTCTTGAAATTTCCTCACAAGTTAGCCAAGACCCCGCTCCCGCCTGAGACTTCCTCGCGTTTGATCCAAGAATCGCGCACTCGCAATGGACTTCCTTACACTGATTTAAAGGGTCCCTCTTTCGGCTCTCTGGAGTCGCGCTCTCGCTGGAGACTTGCTTGCAGTGTAATAAAGAATCGCGCTCTTGCGTTGGAATTCCCCGCAATTTAATCAAGCGCCGCGCTCCCGACACTCAAGCACCGAGGAGTCGCGCTCACGCTTAGGACTCCCTTTCTGTGTAGTTCGGACTCGGGATCTCGCTGCCCTTCGTGGCCCCCCCCCGCTGCCCTTCGTAGCCCCCTCGCGCGGGGCCACGAAGCGCATGCGTATGGGGCCACGAAGGGTGCGAAAGACCAGGGGCCACGAAGGGCAGATAATGCGGGGCCACAGAGGGCAACGATTGGGTCACTGAGGGTAGCAACGGGGCGACGTAGGACAGCGAGGGGGCCATTGAAGGCGACAGCGGGGCCACGAAGGGCATGTATGTGAGGCCACGACGGGCGCGAACGAGTGGGGGCCACGAAGGGCATACGTATATTGGGCCGCAAAGGGCAGGGACGGGGCCACTGGGGGCAGCAACGGGGCCAAGAAGGGCAGCGAAGGGGCCACGAAGGGCTGCAACAGGGCCACGAAACGCATGCACATGGGGCCACGACGGGCGCGAACGAGCGGGGGCCACGAAGGGCACACATATATGGGGCCACGAAGGGCAGCGACGGGGCCACGAAGGGCAGCGAGGGGGCCACGAATGGGTACAACGGGGCCACGAAAGGGCAGCGATGGGGCCACGAAGGGCTGCAACGGGGCCACGACGGGCAGCGATGGGGCCACGAAAGGCTGCGAGGGTGCCACAAGGGACGGACAAGGGACCGACCCCGACGACGACGACGACGACGACGATCGAAAGCGAGAGAGAGAACGACAGCAAGGCCACAAAAGGGCACGAAGTAGGCCACGAAGGGCGACGGCGAGGACACGAAACGAATGCGTATGGGGCCACGAAGGGTGCCAAAGAGCGGGGCCACGAAGGGCACATAATGCGGGGCCACAGAGGGCAACGACCAGGCCACTGAGGGTAGCAACGGGGCCACGTAGGACAGCGAGGGGGCCATTAAAGGCGACAGCGGGGCCACGAAGGGCATGTGTATGAGGCCACGACGGGCGCGAACGAGTGGGGGCCACGAAGGGCATATTGGGCCGCGGAGGGCAAGGACGGGGCCACTGAGGGCAGCAACGGGGCCACGAAGCGCACGCATATGGGGCCACGACGGGCGCGAACGAACGGGGGCCACGATGGGCATATATATATATATATATATATATATATATGGGGCCACGAAGGGCAGCGAGGGGGCCACAAAGGGCAGCGAGGGGGCCGAAGGGCAGCGAGGGGGCCACGAAGGACTGAAACAGGGCCACGACGGGCAGCGAGGGGGCCACGAAGGGCTGCAACGGGGCCACGAAGGTCAGCGAAGGACACGGAGGGCTGCAACGGGGCCGCGAAGGGCAGCGAGGGGGCCACAAAGGGCTGCAACGGGGCCGCGAAGGGCAGCGAGGGGCCCACGAAGGACTGCAATGGGGGCCACGAAGGGCAGCAAGGGGGCCACGAAGGGCTGCAACGGGGCCACGAAAGGGCAGCGAAGGGGCCACGAAGGGCTGCAACGGGGCCACGAAGGGCAGCGACGTCCCGATTCCCAAGTAAGCTGCGAAGGAATCCTAAGCGTGAGCGCGACTCCTGGGTGCCTGAGTGTCGAGAGCGCGGCGGTTGAGTAAATTGCTGGGAATTCCAACGCAAGAGCGCGATTCTTGCGTAAACCCCAAGCAAGTCTCCAGCGAGAGCGCGACCCGCGACCCCACAGCGCCGAAAGAGCGATTCCTGAATCAATTGTAAGGAAGTCCCAAGCGAGAGCGCGATTCCGGAGTAAAATGCGAAGAAGTCTCATGCGGGAGCAGGGTTCCTGGCTAACCTGTGTGGAAGTCTCAGGCAGGAGCCGTTGTTGTTGTAATCCGGGGGCCAACAACTCAGTTTGAGCCGAACGACTTCCCAGAGTAGTGAAAAGAAAACAGGGTGCGAGCCCCAAGGAAACACTTCAATGGTAAAAAACAATGGTTACCGGAGGGGGGATCAACCATACTTGTTCTTCAGTACTGAAAATTCGACAACAGCAGCAACAACAACAATCAATTTGAGACTGTTCGCTCTTATCTGCTCGAGTGTCCGTGAACGCGTAATTCCCAAACCCTTTATACCCGCTCTCTTCGTCTTCGATCGTACATTGGGGGGTAGACTTTTCTTCCCTGCAGGCCGGGCCCCGGCAAACGGCGGGGCGGCCGCGGACCGTCGGCCTGGCCAGCGGCAGCGCTGATTGGCGGCAGCCCGACCCCGAGAAGGACGGACATGGGACCGACCACGACGACGACGACGACGACGACGACGACGACGACGACGACGACGGCGGCGGCGGCGGCGGCGGCGGCGACGACGATCGAAAGCGAGAGAGAGAACGACAGCAGGGCCACAAAGGGCACGAAGTAGGCCACGAAGGGCGACAGCGAAGACACGAAACGCATGCGTTTGGGGCCACGAAGGGTGCGAAAGAGCGGGGCCACGAAGGGCAGATAATGCAAGGCCACAGAGGGCAACGACCAGGCCACTGAGGGTAGCAACGGGGCCACGTAGGACAGCGAGGGGGCCATAAAGGGCGACAGCGTGGTCACGAAGGGCATGTATATGACGCCACGACGGGCGCGGACGAGTGGGGGCCACGAAGGGCATATTGGGCCGCGAAGGGCAAGGACGCGGCCACTGAGGGCAGCAACGGGGCCACGAAGCGCACGCATATGGGGCCACGACGGGCGCGAACGAGCGGGGGCCACGAAGGGCATACATATATGGGGCCACGAAGGGCACGAGGGGGCCACGAAGGGCAGCGAGGGGGCCACGAAGGGCAGCGAGAGGCCACGAAGGATTGAAACGGGGACACGAAGGGCAGCGAGGGGGCCACGAAGGGATGCAACGGGTCCACGGAAGGGAAGCGAGGGGGCCACGAAGGACTGCAATGGGGGCCACGAAAGGCAGCGAGGGGGCCACGAAATATTGAAACGGGGACACGAAGGGCAGCGAGGGGCCACGAAGGACCGCAACGTGGCCACGAAAGGCAGCGACGGGGCCACGAAGGGCTGCAACGGGGCCGCGACGGGCAGCGACGGGGCCACGAAGAGCTGCGAGGGTGCCACAAAGGGCAGCGAGGGGGTCACGAAGGGCTGCAACGGGGCCACGAAGGGCTGCAACGGGTCCACGAAAGGCAGCGAGATCCCGATTCTCAAATAATCCGTGAAGAAGTCCTAAGCGTGAGCGCGACTCCTGGGTGCCCAATTGTTGAGAGCGCGGCGGTTAAGTAAATTGCTGGGAATTCCAACGCAAGAGCGCGATTCTTGAGTAAACTGCAAGCAAGTCTTCCAGCGAGAGCGCGACTCCAGAGCGCCGAGAGAGTGATTCCTGAATCAATTGCAAGAAATCCTAAGCGAGAGCGCGACTCCTGAACAAAATGCCAATGCCAGGAAGTCTCAGACGGGAGCGGGGGTCCTGGCTGAATTGTGAGGAAGTCTCAGGCGGGAGCCGTTGTTGTTGTAACCGGGGGGCCACGGGCCCAATTTGAGGAAGACTATCCCTTATTACAAACAAGGTGCGAGCGCCGGGAGAGGCACTTCAATTGAAAAAACACTGTGCGCCGGAGGGGGGGCCAACAAAAATTATTCATCAGTCGTGAGAGTTCAACACCAACAACAATCATTGTAAGACTGTTCGCTCTTACTTGCCCGTGTGTCATTCAAAACGATTTCACCACACCCTCGATGCCTGCCCTTTTTGTCTTCGATCCTACCCCCTTTGGGGGGGTATGTCTCTTTGCGGGGGGCGGCGGGCTTAGACAGGCGGGCAAACCTGAACGGGCGGACAATCCTTCGCGGGCGTACATGTACCCGCCATTGGAATTGATGTGGCCCCTGCATTAAAAGGGGGAGAACGAGGGAGAGTGGGAGGAAGGGAGGAGGGGGAGGGACGAAGGGAGAGAGAAAACGCCAAGAGAGAAGGAATGAAGAAAGGGACGGTTCATTAGAGGCACAGATAGAGAGAAAAAAATAGACAGATAAGAGAGGTAGAAAGAGAGAGAGGGGGGAGAGAGAGAGAGAGAGAGAAAACAAAAAAAAAGAGGGAGAAGGCAGGAGAGGGGAGGGAGAAGGGAGGAGGGAGAGGAGGGAGAGGGGATAGGGCAGAGAGGCATAAGGATGAGGGAAGAAAGGAAGGAGAGAGAAGGGAGGAGATGAGGAAGGAGGGAGGAGGGAGAGGAAGGAGGAGCAGGAAGGTGAGAGCGTGAATGTTCGAGGAAATCCTGAGCGAAAATGCCGTTCCTGCAGGAAGTCTCGGGGGGGAACCCACGACGGGCGGGCGATCCCCTGACGGGCGGGTCGGGCGGGTGGGACGTTCAAGCGGGATGCCTGAGTATGGCGAGAGCGCGATTCCCAAGTAAATTGTGACGGCGTCCTTGGCGCAGCGTGTTTCCTGCGCGTCGAAAGTGCGATGTCTGAATACATCGCACGGAAGTCACAAGCGAGAGCGCAATTCCTGAATAACATGTGAAGGGTTCTCTGGCGGGAGCGGGGGTCTCGATTCAATTGCGAGGAAGTCTTGACTCAATTGCAAAAAAGTCTCAAACGGGAGCGCCGTTCCTGAGTAAATTGCGAGGAAGTCTCAGATGGGAGCGGGGGTCCTGACTAAATTGCGAGGAGGTCACCGGCGGGAGCACCGATCCTGAGTACATTGTGAGGAAGTCTCAGGCGGGAGCGGGGGTCCTGAAGAGATTCGAAGGAAGTCTCAAGCGGGAGCCGTTGTTGTTGTAATCTGGGGGGCAGAGGCACAGTTTGAGCACCAAGACTTTCCCCGAGAAAAAACCGGATGCGAGCGTCGAGGGGCACACTTTGATAGAGAAAAACAATATGCACCTGTGAGGGGGGACCAATAATAATTATTCTTCAGAAATGAGGGTTCAACAACAACAACAACACGAATAACAATAACAACAACAACAACAACAACAACAACCACCACCACCACCACCACCACAACAACAACAACAACAACAACAACAACAATTACTAGCACGTGGGGACACTCCGTTCTCACCAGTGCCAAGGTTTTCGTAGGAGGCGGGCAATACCCCCACTTTGTGGGGGGGCCGGTTCAAGCTCTACCAAATTTCCAAACGACTCTTCGCCACCACCCACACCCAGCTTCCCGCCCTATGACGTTCGGACACTTCACTTCGTGGCATGCGGACGACCGTGGCTACTATTCAGGGCCCCGCGGCCGACGACGACGGCGTGCGCGCGCGAAGAAAAAACGAATGTGTCCCGCATGGTATTATTTGACAGGGATGATGGCCCTGGCAGGTGCGCAACCGTTGTCGCAGAAGTTCGAAAAAGTTGCTCGCAAAAGCCCGTTTGACAGAAATGTTTAAAAAGTGTTGGGTTTCCTACGAATCCGCAAGAGCGCGCGGGATGAGATTTTGACATTTTTTTGTTGAAAAACCATTGGTTTTTTGATGTTTTTATGTTAAAATCGCTGCGAACACTAAGGTTTTGGAAGGATTTCGTCTTGCGCGCGCGAATGTCCACTTTACCTTATTTTTTGCAAGGGATTCTTGAAATTTGATTATATTAGAACAAGAAATGTCATTTTCTATTGTTTTTTGCAAGGGAAAGCGGATTACAACAAAACAACCGGATCCTGTACACACCCTCTTTTCTGAGGCTTCCTCACGAAAATGATGAAAATGTAGCTGCGGCCTAGGCGGCGCAGGGGGGGCGCGCACCAGGGGGCCCAACAATAATTATTCTTTAGAATAAATAATGTGCAACAGCAACAACAACAACAACAACAACAGCAACAACAACAACAACAACAACAACAACACCAACAACAACAACAACAACAACAACAACAACAACAACAACAACAACAACAACGACGACGACGACGACGACAACAACAACAACAACACCAGCAACACCAACAACAACAACAACAACAACAGCAACAGCAACAGCAACAACAACAACAATTACAACAACAACACCAACAACAACAACACCAACAACAACAGCAGCAGCAACAACACAACAACAACAGCAGCAGCAGCAGCAACAACAACCACCACCACCACCAATGACAACAACACCACCAACAACAACACCAGCAACAGCAGCAACAACAATGACATCAACACCAACACCGGGGAGGAGGAGGAGGAGGAGCAGGAGGAGGAGTGTAGAGGAGGGTGGTGGATGGGGAGGAGGAGGAGGAGGAGGAGGAGGAGGAGGAGGAGGAGGAGAGGAGGAGGAGGAGGGGAGGGGGAGGAGGAGGGGTGGTGGAGGGGGAGGGGGAGGGGGGGGGGAGGAGGAGGAGGAGGGGGAGGGGGAGTGGCAAGATCGGGCGACCAGACGGGCAGGTCGAGCGGCCGCCTCCACGGCGGCGGGCACCTGCTGGCTCAGGATGTCGGCCGCGCCTGCGCTTCGTCGTCGCTCGGGCGCCGCTGGCCAGAGCCGTCGCTGTGGTCCGTCGTTGTTTGTGGTCGTGGTCGCGGTAGCGGACGTGGTCGTCGTCGTCGTCGTCGTCGTCCTCCTCCTCCTCCTCCACCTCCTCCTGCGCCCCCGCACCCGCTTGGCCTCGTTCTACTGCTCGTTCGTCTCCTCCTCCTCCTCCTCCTCCTCCTTCTTGTTACATGTCGTTGCACAGACATTGGCGGGATGGCCGTTGCGTCTAGACGCAGCGACCTGGTGAAAAAAACAGAACGCACGAGCAATATCAAACCCGAACTCTTATCCCCTTGGTGCATACTAAGCGGAATTGGAAGTGCGGCGAGAAACCAGAAATGTGGAGAAGCCCACAAGGGCGGGGATACTAGACCTCCTTCTCCAACTCCTCCTTCTTCTCCTCCTCTTCCTCTTCCGCCTCCTCGTTTCCCTCTCTTGTACTCCCCTAGTGAACTCTCCTCCTCCTCCTCCGCCTCCTCCTCCTCCTCTTCCTGCTCCTCCTCCTCCTCCTCCTCCTCCGTTACCGCTTCCTCGTCCTCATTTGGGGTGCATTTCCGACACAAGTGTCCGTCGGGAAATCCACCAGGAGTACGGCGGAACCAGAGTCCAGGACGGCCAGCTTTGCATCCCGAGCAGCTTCGGACGGTCCCGGGGCCTCGCGGGTGCCCTCAGACGCTCAAGACGACGAAGCCGCCTTGCTGTTTTCACTGCGCTGGAGGTCTGGCTCTCCCCTGCGGGGCAAAGGCACCGGCTACCGCTCTGCTCTCACGGCCAATCCAGCGACCGCCCGGGGTGGGACCGGGGCTGGGCGACAGCCTCGCGCGTGGGCCGTCGCGCTGCCCAAGGGCCCCACCCCTTGGCTGCCACCTTCTGCCCCCCCTGCTCCTGCTCCTGCTCCTGCTCCTGCTCCTGCTCCTGTTCCTGCTCCCGCTCCCGCTCCTGCTCCTGCTCCTGCTCCTGATCATGCTCCTGGTCCTCCTTCTTCCTCCTCCCCTGCTCCTGGTCCTCCTTCTTCCTCCTCCTCTTCCTCCTCCTCCTCCTCCTCCTCCTCCCTCTTATCCCCCTCTTCGCTCCTCCCCCCTCCCTCTTGGCGCCCACGAGCGACTGGTTCGAGGGGCGGGACGGCTCGAAGCCGCGGATCATGATGGAGGACGTCTTCATGAAGTAGCGGTGGGTCACATACCTGGGAGAAGTTCGGTGGCAACTCGTGGGAGCCTCCTATACTTGTGGATGCCACGACAATGGACCCCCTAGCCGTCCTATCATTGAATTTAAAGTGTGGTCTAAAATGTAAAAAAATACTCTAAACATGCTTTAAACATGTTGTTTTATTTACATGTTTAAGACATGGTTAACTCATGTTTTAAGCATCTTGAAATTATTTGGCAACACGCTTCCTCTCCATTGATCGTCCTCCAAAATCTTATACATGGATGATGATGATGATGATGAGGAGGAGGAGGAGGAGGAGGAGGAGGAGGAGAAGCCGAGGGGTGCCCCAGGACTGCCGAGGATACAGTGCGGGCGCGGCCGCAAGGAACCCTCGCGAGAAACCCAACCCTGAGAACCCGCGCGCGAGGTGCACCTGAGGGGAAGCCCGGGGCACCCCCGAACGCAGCCGCTCCTTCTCCGGCTGCGGGAAGCGACTGCGCGGCGCGCGGAGCAAAGAAACCCAAGAAAACCCGACGAAAAGCAGATGGCTTCTTGATGTGCGCCCCCACTGTATACCATCTTGTTGGCTCTTGCGAAGAGACGCTGGCCGACGCTGATCGCCGCTACATCGACGCTACATCGACACTCGTCGACGCCAGTCAGCGACAAACTGGCACCATCTCATCGATTAACAAACGCTACTTTAATCGGCGCGTGTGCACACTAGAGGCAGACTACGAGGGTGTGCAAGGCTCTCCCATCTGCCACCGAAGCAAAAAAAACGAAAACTCAATCAGCACAAGATCGGGAAGCCGGAAACTTGTTCCCTGAGTGGACAGGCGCGTTCCACTACTCGGAAAGGAGCTACTCGCAAATGGCCAAGGTCCGCCGCGGGGGATGTATGATCCATTACAACGAGCTCGGAGGCAAAGCACGGGAGCCTCCCATAGCATCTTGTCGGCTCTTGCGAATCGACGCTAATCGACGCTAAATCGACGCTAGGCGACGCTAAATCGACGCTAACCGGCGCTGATTCGGCGCTATCGCATCGACTCCAGACGCTAATCGACCCTAGTCGACGCGAACGACGAGGGTACACCAAGCTCCCATGATCTGCCACCGAAAACAAGGCGAATATGTGTTTCTCGGACGTTTGCGAGTAGGCACTTGGCGAGTAGTGTTAGGTCGGGCATGTCCTCCTACATGCGGATGTTGGGCGAAAATGATCCTGGCGAAGGGCCCAACCATATGCAGTTGTGAGTACCGCAATTGTGAATATCTTTTTCGGTGGCGATCCCCATGGGGCCATGAACCGTGCGACGGGTGTGCCGACATGTGTGGCGGGGTACACAACACGAACGGGAACGGCAGTCCTGAGCACGGGGGGCTGAGCGCGGGTGAGACTGAGCACGAGCGCGTCTGATTATGATTGAGTCTGCGTGCGAATGAGTCTGTGTGCATGAGTGCGAGCATGGATACGCCTAGTGTAAATGTATGTGAAAGTGAAGACTGGGCGTGGCGGGGGCCTAACGGGCCACGAAACGTGCGAGGGGCGTACGGAGCGCTGTACTGGGTGTGGCGGACGCATGTGGCCACCCCCACTGGGGCCCTTGGGTGGAGCTCATTTTGGGGCCACGAAGCGCTGTACTGGGTGTGGCGGACGCATGTGGACACCCCCACTGGGGCCTTGGGTGGAGCTTCCTATGGGGCCACGATACGCTGTACTGGGTGTGACGGACGCATGTGGCCACCCCCACTGGGGCCTTCGCTGGAGCTCCCTATGGGGCCACGAAACGGTGTACTGGGTGTGGCGGACGCACGTGGCCACCCCCACTGGGCCCTTAGCTGGAGCTTCCTGTGGGGCCACGAAACGCTGTACTGGGTGTGGCGGACGTATGTGGCCACCCCCACTGGGGCCTTCGGTGGAGCTCCCTATGGGGCCACGAAGCGTGTGAGGGGTGATGATAGTGGCGATGATGCTGCTGATAGGAAAGAGGGAGGGGGGGCAGCGGGAGGAGACGCGGGGCGATGTCTCTTCAAAACGAGGACCCAACACCACAGGATAATTGGGAACTGAAACATAATCCCCAAAATGCAAAAATAGTTTAAATCGAAAAATCGTCCCCATAATACTTTTGTACTATTTTTGAATTTTCCTCCTGTAGAGGGACACGCGCCCGCCTTAAGAGTAGGCACTTAGCGAGCAGTGGAGCACGCTCGGCGAGAGTGGAGGAGGTCAGAAGAGGACGGGAGGCGCATGGGCGAGGAGAGCGCACCCCTGGGAGTTGGAGGAGGGGGGGCATGACAGGGAGGCGGGAGAGGAGGAGGAGGAGGAGGAGGAGGATGAGGAGGAGGAGGAAGAGGAGGAGGAGGCGAGGAGGAGGCCGAGGAGGAGGAGGAGAGGAGGCGGAGGAGGACGAGCAGAAGCTGCTCGCTGGACGGACAGAAGCTGCTTTCTGGTGTGCTACTCCTCCTGCCGGCGGGGCGAAGGGTGCCGGAGCAGGCGTCGCTCGATGCGGCCGTCGCCCGTTTTCGGCAAGGAGTTCCAGATGGGCATCAGCGCCTGCGGGGGGTCGGCATCCGGGACTGATTCCGACCGCCTGGGACTGATCCCAACCAATTGGTAATTTTTCCTACCAGCTCGAGAAGACAAACTGATACGAATTCCAACTGGCGAAGTAACTTCAACCATTCTGAATGTGAGGATGTTAGTATATCCAAACAACTAAAGATTCTGCTTATGTGTGCAGATATACTCTAGAGGCTAACCTGATTGCCCAGGTTGGAACCCCGTCTGGGCACCCTCTTGGAGCCGTCTTGGGGGCCTCTTTGGCCGTCTTGGAGGCCTCTTGGGACGTCTTTGGGCCCTCTTGGGTCGTTGCGGGGTCCTCTGTGGGGTGATCTCGGGGACCTCTTGGACCGTCTTGGAGTGTCGGGAAGCCGAAAAGGCGAGAATCCCCAAATCTATCGAAAGCCTGAAGCAAATCAATGATTTTTGCCTCGTGGGGCCCTCTTGGGAGTGCTCCTGGGAAGCTTCTTGGGGCACCTTGGGAGCCTCTGGGGCCGTCTGGAGGCTACTTTGGCGTCTTGGACCGGTAGCTCGGCGATTCGGGGCCCTCTGGACCGCCTTGGGGGCCTCTTGGGGCAATTTTGGTTCGTCTTGGGGGGTTTGGGGCTTTGGGACCCCCTGGGGGGAAGAGGCATTTTGACCCGGGGTCCCGCCCAGGATCCCCCAAGGGACACTCCCTGGGACCCCCCCCCCGGGCGGGGAAGGGATCAAAAGGTGTCCTTCGGCTCAGCTACGACCTTGCCGCTTAATTTCGCTTTGGCTGGTGCGCTTGAGGAGGGCCGAGGGAAAGTGGGGGAGCGGCGACGGCGACGGCGACGGCCACGACTACGACGAACGGAAGAGCGTCTTCCACACGCCGACAGGGTCGGCGCAGGAGGAAAACAGAAAAAGAGAGAGAGAGAGAGAGATTGCTGGGAATGAAAAGGCGTGTCATAGATGTGGGCGTCACCCCTTCCCGTTCCTCCGTCCCCAACGTCCAACATCTCATGTGGGTGGGGGTCACCATTCGGGGGGAGTGTCCCCATACGAACTCCACAACGCACCTCCGAAACCTTCGGAGCCTCGAAATCTACCGCCCATTGCCTCCAAGATGCACCAGGTGCCTTCCAAGATGGCTCAAGAAAAGCGCCAACACACCTGGACGACCTCAAGAACACCCAAGACAGGCTGCACACTGCCCACAAGGACCCCAAGACGCCACAAGAGCGCCTCGAGAGAACCCCCAAGAGGGCCTCATGAGGCAAAACACGATCGTTTGTGCTACGTCTTGTGTGCGTTATGTATACACATACGTATGAACTGTTTGACCTGTGTGTATGTGTATGTGTATGTGTGTATGTGTGTATGTGTGTATGTGTGTATGTGTGTATGTGTGTATGTGTGTATGTGCTTGTTCGCGCTCTCGCCTCTTGAGATGTCTACAAGCTCTCGGCGGAGGCCCCCCCAGACCAGTGCATCACAGCCCAAAAGGCCCCCAAGATGGCCAAGAAGGCCCTCGAGAGGGCCCAAAAGGGCTCCTAGAGAGGTCCAGGAGGTGGAACTCGCAGGTAACCACCCTTCCCCCCCCACCCACCCACACACACACACACGCACACACACACAATAACCAACCCACAAACAACCACACACACACACACTCAAGATGGTCCCAAGACCCCCAGCACGCCGCGAAGAGGTCCCCAAGCAGCTCGCAGAAGGCCCCAAGAAGCCCTGAAAAGGTTCCCACGAGGCTGCCCCCGAGGCCTCCACAAGGCCCCCAAGAAGGACCGCAACAGGCGTGGAGGCAGAGGATGAAACATCGGCAACAAGTACACGCAGGAAGCATAACAGGAAGAGGAAAACAAGGTGTAAGAAATCTGAAGTCACAAATAGTATCTCCTGGGGTCGGCGGACTAGCGGAAAGCCTCCTGAGTCGGCACCAAAAGCGCTCCGCCAGTGCCCGCCACAGCCTTCTATTCCTGCGTCTCCTCCTCCTCCTCCTCCTACTCCTCCTCTTCCCTCATCCTTCTCCTCCTCCTCCTCCTGCTCCTCCTGTTCCTCCTGATCCTTCTCCTCCTACTCCTCCTCCTCCTCCTCCTCATCCACCTCCTC